GGTCAACACAGCCAAAGCCCAGGGGACTGGGAAGGGGACGCAAGTGAGAGTAGGCGGCAGATGCTAGAGGTTTGGGGGCGGGAAGATCAGAGGAGGCTGGCAGGTAGGTGCTGGATTGAAACAGTGGGCTGCATTCGTAGCATCGTGCCAAGCTACCTAACCTGTCCTTGGATTCACTCTTTAGCCCAGACTGGCCTTGTAGTTATTTATAATTTTTAAAATTTACTTATGTATTTTATGTGTGAGTATTGTATCTGCCAGAAGAGGGCATCAGACCCCGTTATAGGTGGTTGTAAGCCTCCATATGGTTGCTGGAAATTGAACTCGGGACCTCTGTTTTTTGTGTTGTTGGTTTTGTTTGTTTGTTTGAGACAGGGTTTCTCTGTAGCTTTGGAGCCTGTCCTGGAACTAGCTCTTGTAGACCAGGTTGGCCTCGAACTCACAGAGATCCTCCTGCCTCTGCCTCCTGCATGCGCCACCACCATCTGGCTAAACTCAGGACCTCTGGAAGAGCAGCCAGTGCTCTTAACCACTGAGCCATCTCTCCATCCCTGTTTATAAAAATTTTTTATATTTTATTATTTATGTTTTGTACATGTGAGTGTGCATGCATGCATGCTTGCTTATGGGGGAGCATTGTGTGTTTGTGCTTGCATGCAATGCAGCCAGAGAACAACTTTAGGAGTCTGTTCTCTCCTTCCACTATGGGATCTCAGGAAAGAATTTAGGTCATCCGGTTTGTTCATAAAGTGCTTTCACCCTTTGAACCACCTCATGGCCTATGCTCGCATCCTCTCAACTTGGCTTGCCCCTGCAGCACATTGACTACAGAGGGTACAGGAAAACCTTTCTAGAGCGGGGATGCCATCCAGCTGAAGATCTGCATTGGGGCTGGAGAGATGGCTCATCGGTTAAGAGCATTTCTGCTCTTCCAGGCGACTCTCATTGGTTCCCAGCACCCAAGTCTGACAGCTCACTGTGCCTGTCACCGCGAGGTCACCCTCGTCTGGTTTATGTTCACACATAGGCACACACGTAGGTTATAAAAAAGAATCAAGTGAAAAAAAAAACCAAAAACATCTCAGCCGGGCGGTGGTGGCGCATGCCTTTAATCCCAGCACTCGGGAAGCAGAGGCAGACGGATCTCTGTGAGTTCGAGGCCAGCCTAGTCTACAAGAGCTAGTTCTAGGACAGGCTTCAGAGCTACTGAGAAACCTGAGAAACCTTGTCTTGAAAAACCAAAAAAAAAAATAAATCTCTGTTTTCAGTCTGTGTAAATGTATCAAAAAACAAAAACCGATGCCAGCAGGCGGGGGACCACCAGAACTGGGGTACCCATCACAGAAGTTCTGTGTAAGACAAGTGTTTCAAGGCGGCCAGAAGAGATAAAGTGGCCTGGACATCTGGGTGCTGCCTGCATCCAGAAAAGATGGCGGGGACTGCCCTGATCGCTGGGGTCTCCTTTCTCTCCTAGCGCGCGCCCTGCACGCTGGACTCAAGGCTCGCCTTCCCCAGTGCTGGCTTCCAGCTCGCCTCTGACGGTTGAGTCAGGGTCTCATCATTATGCTTCCCATCCGTACTCAGATTTGTGACCCTACTTCTTCACCCTCCCCGGTGGCTGGGATGACAGGCATGTGACAGCAGATTTGGACTTTTATTTTCGGTCAATCTGCTAGAATTCTTTGTAACATTGTGCTATGTATAATACTTGTTTATTCTCATGCCTATACACAGGACTTTTATCCTGACTTAACAGGAAAGGCTAAAGAAGTCAAAGCATGTATACATGTATACAATGAGACATCCTCAGCCACCCATAGGTGACACTAGAACATTGGTTCTCAATCTGGGGGTCACATATCAGATCTGCATATCAGATGTTTAGGTTACAGTTCATGACAGCAGCAAAGTTAGTTATGAAGTAGCAACAAAATGATTTATGATTGGGGTCACCACAACATGAGGAACGTATTAAAAAGGGTCACAGCATTAGGAAGGTTGAGAAACAGTGGTCTAGAACTTTCCACTTCCGTGAACCTCCCTCAGATGCTGGTTTCTCCAGCATGGTCTTCCTAAAGGCCAAGTTCCTGGTTGTGGCTGTGTGAGTGTGGAAAGTCTCTCAGACCCAGGCTGGTTTCTCGCTTGTGATTGACACTTGTCTATGGAGTCACAGCACACCCACTTCTCCACAGCCCCTGCCATTGCCTCCAGGAGGTTTTTCTGCATCCTACTTGATGTCAGGGAACTCCAGTGCTCAAAATCTCAGAATTAGAGCCACACATGGTGATGCACACCTTTAATCCCAGCACTCGGGAGGCAGAGGCAGGCAGCTCTGTGAGTTCGAGGCCAGCCTGGTCTACAGAATGAAAGGAGAAGGAGAAAATAAGTAAATTTCCTTTTGTTCTTTTTGCTTTTGTTTTTCTCTAGACAGGGTTTCTCTGTGTAGCTCTGACTGTCCTGGAACTCACTCTGTAGATCAGACTGGCCTCAAACTCAGAGATCCGCCTGCTTCTGCCTAGTGCTGGGATTAAAGGTATATACCACCACCACCACCTAGCATTATATTATAAATTGTTTTATTATAAAAATTAATTTTATTTTTTGGTTACAAGAATCTTTTTTTTTTTTAAAGATTTATTTCTTTATTATGTACACAACATTCCTTCCATGTATGCTTGCATGCCAGAAGAGGGCACCAGATCTCATTATAGATGGCTGTGAGCCACCATGTGGTTGCTGGGAATTGAACTCAGGACCTCTGGAAGAGCAGTCAGTGCCCTTAACCTCTGAGCCATCTCTCCAGCCCCTGGTTACAAGAATCTTGCCTGAATGTACATTTGAGCAACACAGGTGTGCTTGGTGCCTGGGAAGCCAGAGAGGCATCTGATCCTCTAGAACCGAGTCATGGATGGTTGTGAGCCGCCGTGTGAGCGCTGGGACTGAGCCTCTGCTAGAGCAGCCAGTGCTCTTATCCTTTGAACCATCTCTCCAGTTCTGGCCCCCAAATTTAAATGGCCTAGACATAGTGGCATCTACCTGTCACGTCCAGCACTCTGGAGGTGGAGGCAGGAGGAGAAATTCAAGGTTACCCTCAACCTCATAGCTTCAGAGACCAGCTTTGTGAGCCCTGGTACAGTAAACACCAAGTATAGTGCTGTTGGCTGATTGGTCACTGCAGACACCACTGTCCGCCCACAGAGGGTCAGGACGTGCCTGCTGGGCTGACGGGGACACAACACCAAAGAGGACAAGAGTCCCCCTACTTAGTTCTCTCTTGTTTTCCAAATGGCGTGTGTGCAGGCTTGCAGCCTGCAGCACACGTGTAGAGGTCAGGTGACTTTGTGGCACTGGCTCTCCCCTCCCTTGTTTCTGTGTGACACGGGCATTGCACGCAGGTCATTGTCTCATTGCCTCTGCAAGGCAAGCCCTCCACCCTGAGCCATCTCGTGGCCCTCGATTTGTGTTTCTGAGACAGGGCCCCTCTCGGCCCTTGCTGTCTGGAACTTGGGTCAAGCCCCCACCCCCGCCTCAGCCTTCTGAGTGCTGGAATTGCAGGGGTGGGCCTCCACATCTAGGGAGCCTGGAGCACACACAGAGGACAACAGAGTGACTTCTGACTTGTCCTGCGCCACCACACTCGGGTCTGGAGAGGATGTCAGTCTTAGCTGTTTTTTATTTTGGTTTCTGTGTGTTTGGTTTCCCTGAAGAGCTGTGGTTAAACCCAGGGCCTCTTGCATGCTAGGGAAGTGCTGTGCCTGCGCTCTGCCAGGCTCCTGCGCTCTGCCGGGCTCCTGCGTTTGAGATGTCTCACTACGTTGCCCAGGCCACATCTGAGGTGAGGCCTGCTTTACTTTGCCAGCCTGGCTTAGTTCTTCATTTTTAAATAATCAGCTAATTTGGTGTGTGTGTGTGAGAGAGAGAGAGAGAGAGAGACAGACAGACAGACAGACAGACAGACAGACAGAGAGGAGAGACAGACAGAGTATCTCCTGGGGCTGCAGTTACAGAACTTGTAAGCTGGAGTGTCTCCAGCTCTCTCTATTTTTTTATTGCAGAGAAGTATGAGTAATTGAGTAATTATCAAAACAGTTTTGAATATAAAGATATGACATTAGGTTAAAATGGGAAACGTGATGAAGACATAAGTTCACGGAGAAAGGAGGACCTGTAAAGTTCATTTTTGTTGGACCAGCTTTCTTTTTAGACTTTATTTATTATGTGTACAGTGCTCTGCATGTGTGCCTGCACGCCAGCAGAGGGCGCCAGATCTCATACAGATGGCTGGGAGCCACCATGTGGTTACTAGGAATTGAACTCGGGACGTCTGGAAGAGCAGCCACTGCTTCTATCCTCTTAGCCCTCTCTCCAGCCCCTGAAACAGCTTTTTTAAGAATTTGCATGTATGTGGGTTTTTTTTTTTCAGATGTATAGTGGAAAGTATCAAGCCACTGTATTTAGATTACACCCGTTACATTTTCAAAGACAATAGAATGATGTTATTGTAAAATCTCCAGGGTGGAGAGATGACTCTGAGATTAGCAGTGGATTAGGGTCCCAGCAGCTCCAGAGGACCTGCAACCCTCTTCTGGTCTCTGAAGCTCTCCTTGCATGTGACGCATATTCAGACAAGCAAGTACATACATAGACACATAAAATATGTTTAAAAGTCAGAGTTTCACCGGCCAGTGGCTCACGCCTTTAATCTCAGCCCTTGGCAGGCAGAGGCAGGTGGAGTCTGAGGCCAGCCTGGTCTACAGGATGAGATTCTGTCTCAAAACCAAAAGTTAGTAGCTGGTGCTGCCTGATTTTCTTCCGCCCTGCTTCAGACTTGTACTACTGAGGCTCAGGCTGTGTTTGGGTAAGTTTATTTGGCTTCTGGGGCAGGCTGCTGTTGTTGTGGGGTATCCCAGGGTCACCCCAGCCCAGCCGTTGCCCCTTTCTTCCACAGGATGACGCGGCACGGCAAGAACTGCACTGCAGGAGCCGTGTACACCTACCATGAGAAGAAGAAGGACACAGGTACCGTCTGGGGACCTCACTCCCCTCTGGTTCCCCTCATGGGGTCTGGCTGTTTTGCTCTTCTCTTGTCCTATTCTGCCCTTGAATGGCCTGTCGCTGCCCTGTGTGTACTAATGATGGTGACCACAGGTAGCAGGGCCATGTGACTCATCTAACACATCCCTGGATACCACCTTTGCAGAAAGGAAGGCTGAGAGCCACAGTGGCCCCCACCCCAGGAGAGGGGAGCCAGCCATGACCCTCTTTACCCCTCTGCCCCACTGTGGGGGAGTAAGGCTGACCTAGCAATGGCTTTCTCGGGTTCCACTCAACCCCCACATTTCCTTGGGCATTTGGTGAAAGACATGTCTGCATCCATCACCACTTTTCTCTGTTCCCAGCGGCCTCAGGCTATGGGACCCAGAACATTCGACTGAGCCGGGATGCTGTGAAGGACTTTGACTGCTGCTGTCTCTCGCTGCAGCCCTGTCATGATCCTGTGGTCACGTGAGCAGGGGAGGGGCAGCAGGGCAGCTGGTGTGTGTGGGTTCACCCTCTCAGAGCTATCTCCAGAGACAGGCAGCTGCCCCTCCACCACCGGTGGAAAGAGTCCATGGCTAATAGCTGGGGCTGGGCTCAGCAGGTGGAGTGCTTTCCTAGCCTGCAGGAAGCTCTGGGTTCTCAGTGCCACAGAAAACCAGGTGTGACGCACTCAGCGCAAACGGAGGATGGGGGTTCCAGGGGTTCAAAGCAAACCTCAGCTACATAGCAGTTTAAAGCTAACCTGAGCTGCAGAACATCGTGTCCCACAATAAAATGAAAAGAAATGGACTGAAGGGAGCACCATGGGAGATGTCACCTAAGGATTGTAGTGGTACCAAGGGTGGGCGTGAATGGATGGATGCTGGGTGAGGATGCTCTATGGTGGTACCCAGGGTGGACGTGAATGGATGGATGCTGGAGTGAGGATGCTCGGTGGTGGTATCCAGGGTGGGCGTGAATGGATGGATGCTGGAGTGAGGATGCTCGGTGGTGGTACCCAGGGTGGGCGTGAATGGATGGAT